TCCACATACCATCAGTTAACAGAGTTTCTCTCTATCCTCTTTAGCTTTTTTTTTTTTTTTTTATTGGGAAAAACTTTGCCTTTTTGGAATTTACAGTCTCGGCTTTTAGGGAAGGTTTTTACATTTATCTGTGGGTCCTGTGGTCTTTTAAAATGCTTGATTTACTCAGTGAAAACAAGATATTTGCCAAAAGAATGACTATTTCCTTCTTTAAATAATGCACACAGAAATGCTTTTTGAGAGACTCAGTAATGTTTCTTTGTCAAGGACTTGAAGTCCTCATACTTAGGATGAACTTGAGTTTTAAAGATGTTGCAGCTCTTCTGTGACACTCTTTGTTTCGATTCACAGTCACCATCTGCTATTCACGTCCTCGCCATTGCTAAGAGCATCATCGATATTACCTCTCTGTGAAAATGTGTCTTCAGTTACCAGAAAATGGAGCATCTCAATGTTACTTAAGTCATCCTGCTTTAAAGTCTTTTTGGTGAGCAGCAAGGAACTTATTATTTATTTAGAAATGCTTTATGAGGAGGAGAATGCTTTTTTGTAAACATGAATCACCTGGCTCTTTCATTGGGTTTTGGCTTCTTGTTTCAGGCCATTAAAACATTTTTATTTACTTATTTTCCTTCCATATCATTGGCTGCCTCACAGGGGCTTTTCCCAAGACTGGAGAATGTGGGTGCTTTCAAGAATGTTTCAACTGCACCAACCCAAGTAACTTGTGGACTACCAGACCGAAGCCTCTTTTGTCATAGCTCTGTGGAGGCTGAAAGTATTCAGAATTGTATCCAGAGGTTTTGCATTCAGGATTGTCCATCCAGATCTTCACCCTCTAGGTACACTGCCTTATTGTCTGCAGGCCTTAAGAGCTGCATCACTGCAGACAAGCATGACCTGCCTCCCAACTCCCCTAGCAATTCTACAAGCTTTATTTTTGGATATAGCAAGAATTGCTTTTCTTCTCCTTCTCCTTCAAGACTGGCAGCATCATTTACTTTAATTGTGTGGTTGAAACCTGAACAAGAAGATGTAATGTATGTAGTAATGTGGGTGTATGTTTTCCTAGGATCCTGAAAAATCAGGAGAAGTAAAGACTACTGTGATTTGAAATCCAACTAGAAATGAAGGCTAACATTCAGGGATGTATGTGATTGAACAGCAACTCCTACACTGACTCATGGCCATTGAGTTGAGCCATAGTGACCCATATAGCATAGAGAGCAGCTGCTCCTTAGACTCTCTGAGGCTGTGGGCTTTACTGAAGCAGATTACAGGTCTCTCCTCCTTTAGAACAGTTGGTGGGTTCTAACCATCTCCCTTTTGGTTAGCAGCAGAGCTTGAACCAGTGTGCCACCAGGCTTCCTACTCCTACGTTGATATTTCCTATTTGAATTTACAACCCAAATTATTTTGTTTTTGTTCTTAAAATTTAATTTAATTTTTATAGGTGAAATGACCATCAGCAAATATTGTGTTGGAATACTTTTGAAGCATGTTCACACCTGGCTCATTTAATTCTTAATACTTTAGCTAAACTTTGGTCTTAGCTTTAAGAGACAGGACTAGGCTGATCACAGTAACATAAATAAGTACTATTTTCAAAGTCATTGTCTTGTTTGATATAAACAACCCATGCCCACAAGAGTATACAATCTTTATTAGATAGCTAGCTCTCTGAAGGGTACAGCTATGTTTTATTCATCTTTATTTTCCTAAGAAAAGCTGTTTGGCACATGGAACATGTTCAGTAATATGAGTTGAATAAAGTGGTAAACGAGTTACACTCAATCTCTGGAAAAAATAGCTTTTGTCTCTTTCCCTTGTGGTATTTTCATCTTCTACTTGGTTAGGAAATATTTAGGTAAGCATGAGTGAGTCTCTAAAGTTTGTAGCTGTTGAACCAGTAGAAATGCCTTCAGTGAGTTTGTAATAGGGCCTCCTGGTCATCATCTTTTTCAAGTACACGCAACATGAGGACCTTCCTTTGAGGCTGTAAAGCACATGCTTTGATTTGTAAAATAATATTTTTATTGGCTATATTCTTTGCTCTTAAGGAACTCTGGTAGCTTAGTAGTTACAAGTCGGGCTGCTTATCTCAAGGTCAGCAGCTCAAAACTACTAGCCGTTCTGTGGGAGAAAGATGAGGCTTTCTGCTCTCGTAAAGATTTACCACCTCGGAAATCTTATTCAGGGTCACTATGAGTCTGAACCTCCTTCATGGTACATCACCATTCTTTGCTCTTATGTTTTAAAGAGTCCCTTCTTTTATCAGGAGATTTTAACCTGGAATACACTGCTAAGCGATTTACTTCCAGTAACAGTGTGCAGCCCACAAGTTAATCTAAATTAAAATTAGGGGCGTCAATCATTCTAACAGGAGTCCTGGTGTGGAGCTGTGGGTTAATGCACCAGACTGCAAAGCCATTTGAACTGCAAGGTTGGTGGTTCAAGCTCACCAGCTGCTCCACGGAAACCCTATACAGGGTCGCTATGGGTCAGAACCAACTCGATGATACTTAACAACAACTCATTATAAAGAGAGCATGTGTATAAGGCTAAATTACTCTACCACTATTTTTGTTGTATTTAGTCATTTTTCATTCTATAGTTATCTCAAGATTATATCTGGTAATGTGTTTATTTTAAATGTTTTTAGCCAGTCTGAGAAACTCTGATAATGCAGTTTTGAAGTATTTTTTTGCTTATCCTTTTTCTTTCTGTAGGACTTTGGCCCTTCCTCTTGTGATGTTTTCTTCTGCGTGAAAATCTTGGCTGAATGTGTATAAACATGTGAAACAAACCAGAAAAATCTCACAAACTCATAAACAAATATGTCTCAAATGTTTTTGGTGTTTAGTGTCAATTTGACAAGAGAAAGTTGGCATATTTTCATTTTGATTTAAATTTGGAGTGGAAATTATCACAAACCATTATGCCTATTTCTGTATCTCCCCTAAATGAAACCTGTGTTTGAAATTCCAGTAAATTTAGTGTACTAAGTTTATGTAACTAGGATCCAAAGATTCTTAAAAGTTTGTCTCTTGTCAGGAACAATGTAAGACCCAGGAAGAATGTAAGTTCATTTATTGATATGTTGTGGACAATTTCACATAGGTCTCACCACACTGACTTACTTGTTGTTGTTGTTGTTAGGTGCCATCGAGTCAGTACCAACTCATAGCAACCTTATGCACAGCAGAATGAAACATTGGCTTACTAGTCTGTATTTAAAAGTTTCACTTTTTTTTTTTTTTAAAATCACATAGGTGAAATCCATGTGAAGTTGTTCACTACAAGGTTGTAAGTAAGCATAAGTAAACCCATACTTTCTTACTTACTGGGTATTCATTCCCTGTTCGGGATTATAAATTTGAAAAGAATCTTTGATTCTGTACAAAGGTTATGTGAGGTTGGGAGAGACATAAATACCAGTTATACGAAAATGCAAAATTTTCAATATGGTGAAAACCTATGACATTGTTCACTATACATTACTAAGTAAGCACAAGTAAGCCCATGCTTACCTTGCTAATTGGGTAATTCAACACTGTTCTTGACAAATATATGGCTAGGATTTTTTTTTTTTTTTTTTTGCTAAGCTCCCAGGAACATTTCTGTACCAAATTAATCTTCTGTTGGCATCATTTTATATAAATGAGATAGATGGTCTTTGTGGTTTTTGAGATTTCCATATATCAAGGTCATTTTCATTCTCAAAACTAAAATACCTATGGGAATTGGAGGAATTTCAGGGTGTTTGCACTAGATAAGTAAAACAAATAAAACATGGATTATCCAATTATTGTTTATTCAGGAGCAGAATAAATCCAGTTCCTAAATATTTTGCTACCTGCCTTCCTTTCACATTCATTATCTACCAAAGCTAGCATGTTTACAAGCAAACAAAATAGCAAGGAAGATAATCAATAACATATTAAGAAATGCATTTTCCGTAAGCTTGGGGAAATAAGTCTGCAGTTAGTAAATACATTCTTGAATAATGGTCAAATTCCTACTTGTTGATTTAAACTCAATCAAAAATGAATAGAGACAAACTCTTCTTAGTTTGCTTAAGACCCAAAGGCTTGGTCTTACATTCCGGTGTCTTAGAAATATCCAGCCTTGGAAGGGATCAAAAAGTACTGCAGGGTAGAGTTTATGTAAAACTTTTATTTCCATTTCATATAAAGCCTTTGGGTCAAATAAATGTGTATCCACCGAAATTAAAACAGGATACATTCTCTCATAACTCTATCAGAAAACATATGCTTAAAATAAAAAATGTACTAGAATAGAAACTATTGAGTGCTTTCTAATCTTTTTCTAGCCTCCCAAGTCAGGGAAACAACGTATGTAAATGAGAAGGAGTAGTTTTCAAGAGTCCTTTTGGGAAATGTTTTAAAATATCTTTAGTAATAAGTTTGGTTGACCCATTCTTTGCATCTATGAAGTTTCTTCTCCAAATTGGTCAGTGGTCATTGAATAATGCAAACATATTGTTGTAAAATATATGTAACAAAATTTTTGCCATTTTCAATTGTAGAGTTAAGTGGCATTAATTGTGTTCACCAAGTTGTGCAACTATCATCACTATTCATCTCCAAGAGTTTTACATCACCTCACACAGAAACAGTACCCTATTAACTAGTAACGTTCATCCTGCTGGGAAACAGTGATGGATTGATGCTCTTGCAGAGATAGCATAAGTGGGCACATTAGAAACTTCCTTTTACCAACCTTGATTAGGAGAAAGGTTCTAGGATCAGGCATCAGCAAGATGAGAATTTGATATCTGAGCTGAGTAGGAGGTAAACAAGTGAAGATAGGGATCCAGGTTGCTCAAGTGCCTGATGAAATTCTCCTTTCTGGGTTACATCAATTCCATGGCTTCTGGTCTGAGAGAATCAGACTGGTGTGCAGGTTTGATAGTGACTTACGAAGGTGTTGATAGCTAGTGCCAGTGATGTTGTTGTTATTAGGTGCCATCGAGTCGGTACTGACCCATAGAGGCCTTATGCACAGCAGAAGGAAACACTGCCTGATCCTGGACCAACCTCACTATTGTTGCCATGCTTGAGTCCATCGATGCTGCCAGAGATACTTCTCTTTAAATAGTAGATCTTTGGAAATCATTCATTTATAAGCATTTATAATATTGTCTCTTCTGCTAAAAAGTTCTCTTGCTAAGATGAAATGTCATAGGAATGTGATTTGGGTTCACATCTGTTACTGCTAAGAGAGCACATATTAGCCAGAAATGGACAATGTGTAATAAATGTAAAATAAATTATATTGAATATAAATTACATTGGCTTCCTAGGACTGCTTTGACAAAGTACCACACAGTAGGTGGCTTATAAAAGTGGAAATATGTTTTCTCACAGTTCTGAAAACTAGGTGTCAGGATATTGACTTTGTTGACTCATTGTGAAGATTTGGAGGAAGAATCTGCTCCCTCTAGCTCTTCTTGCTTTTAGTGCTGATGTTCCTTGGCAATCACTCCAATCTCTGCCTCTGCCTTCACATGGCCAGCTTCCTTCTATGTGTCTGGGTCTCTTTTTCTCTTTTATAAGGACATCACTCATCTCTTTAAGATCCACAGGACTCTAGTATGTTGTTGTTGTTTTTAAGTGCCGTGGAGTCGGTTCTGACTCATAGCGACCCTGCACAGGGTTTCTGAGGCTGTAAATCTTTATGGGAGCAGAAAACCTCATCTTTCTCCCGTGGAACAGCTGGTAGTTTCGAACTTCTGACCTTGTGGTTCACAGCCCGATTTGTAACCACTACGCTGGATAATGTCTTCAAACTCTCCATTTCCTACGAGGTCACATTCATAGGTTCCAGAAGTTAGAACTTTACCATATCTTTTTTGAGGGGGACACAATTCAATCTGTAACATAAATTAAAATGTAAAATTGAAAACTATAAAAAGGTGTCATATGCCTATTTGAAGAGACTTGAAAAGTATGTCATTGCAACAAGGTCAGAAGTGGTCTTTAAGTAATTTGTTAACTGGCCTGAATCTAGATCTAAAACTCAGAATATTATTCTGTTATTAAAATAATCTTTCGCTGTGTTTTTAGAATCTGGATGATCTTTCATGAGAGATCATTAACATTACCTCAGTGCCTCAGTTGGGCTTTGTGGTCATGGATAGGTAGCTAGTCATCTTACAGACACTAACTTTGACTGCTGGCCAACTGAAAATGGGCGAGTACAGGCTGGGGCTGTTCATTCTCCATTTCATCCTGGGAATTAAATAGAGCAATTCACACTGCGGGGCTAGTGGCTTTGAGCTTTCCATGGATACTAAATTCTCTTTAAATGAAAAAATAAGAAAAAGAAGGCTGTGCACTGATGACTCAATACCCAAGCGGGATGTAGTGTGTTGTGCCATTTCCTATAAAAGAAATAGCAAAGGAACTAATGAGCCAATAGGCTAAATGTTAGTTTTGCAGAATGATTCAACCATTTTAGTTTCTATCATGAATCTCTAGTCAAGGGTGCTGAGGCTCTGAGGGATGTATTGTAAATAAAAATTCTATTTTTAAAAAAAATACAAATAAAAGTGCTGTGGCATTGGCATAAAGTGTGCTTTGAATATTATGACATCTAGACACTTATTCATGTTCCATTCTGAATGGAATTTGGGGTCATTTGAACACCACTGTAACTGCACAATGCCTTAGCATGTCTTTGGGTTAGATGCTGACCTTTTCTCTCTTTTCTGGTTGCTTCCTAAGGTGTGTTATAGGAAAGGCAGTGGATGAGCAGATTGTGTTCAAACTTACAATATCTGCGAAAGAGACCATGTTTTATTATTGCACAGTAAATGGTTTGCAGCCTCCAATAAAAGTAATGACACTGGGGAGAATTCTTGTGAAGAAATGGATTCATCTTAGTGTGCAGGTGAGTAGAATAAAAATATTTAACATTTGGTTAAACACAAGGATCTATCTCCCTTTCTGTCCTTTAAATGGCATCTACCAGCACAATTTGAAGCAGCCTCTTTTAGATTTCAGCCATATGTAAATGGAAACTAAAGAAGAAAATAATTTATATGATCTACTGATGCTTCTCTTGATATGCCAGCATTTTCTCCCCAAGATAGTTGCAAAAACTCCCATAAAAGCTCAACTAGAAAGATATTTGTAATAATAATATCCTGGGGAAATTTGTGTTTTCTTTGGCTAGTGCATTTTATTTTATTCAAAATATGTAAGGGTTCTTTTGTTATCTAGAACTAATTTTACTAGTCATGTCAGTATGAAAACCCCTGCGTAGATTTTTACAGCTGTCTTTTCTCACATAATATCTGATGACATGCATGAAGTTTGGCTGTTGCATTAAAATGCTGACCTTAGAACTAACGAACTTTGCACTTCAGATACTCAAATGGTGTTATAGTATTACTTTACTTGTTGATCACAATTTGTTTTAGCCTGAGAAGCTGCTAAAGGGTAAAGTAGCTGTGAGATGTCTGGTATTTACAGCCCAGACATCTGTAAATACCAGACATCGTTTATCTATTTGTTTCTTCAATGGAATGGCCCAGTACAGTCAAAGGCAACCCTTTCCTTTCATAATAGAAGTACAGTGTAGGGTAGCTCCCAGTGTATGCGCTCTCTTGAGCATCCAAATAGTGGACATTTGCACTCACATTCATTTTATGATAATTTTCTTTGAGTCATCACATTATTTTTTTTCTCTGATGTGGTTGGTGAGCAAACATTCTCAGAGAGCCCTGAGAGTTGCTATTTGACCTGAAAGTTACCTTTAGCATATCTTACAAGATTTGAATCCACTTTGCAACTATTTTTATTTTGACTAATTATAACTGTGCTGTTCTGTCATATTTTTTGCAAAGCAGAGCATCAAAGGAGGGAAGGAAGACCATTTAAACATAAATTTAAGTAGAAATACAGAGAGGCAACTCTGAGTGATTTCAGTAGGAAACCACTGACAAAAAATATATTTTCTATCATTGTGCTATGTGGTATTGACTCAAAGTTTTTAGATAGGGCCTGAGTTTGGCAAGTATCTTTAACAGAGAGTAGGGTTTTTCTTGCCACCAGGGTACAGATGTAACTTACAAATGTGTCGGTCAGTATTCCTGACTAAGGCACAGATATTTCAGTCTAGCAGTGCTTACATCCCATTTGGTCAGTAGCTAGCAGTATTGGGGGCTATTGCTCTAGATCTTGAAGTTATTCATTCCACCCGCTGATGAGTGCAGAAAAATTGAGCTGTAATATTAAAAATGTATAAGCAAGAATGCGAAGGAAAGGAAATCTGCAGAAGATGTCAAAGAGATATGTTTGCTGCACAGTTTAGTATTAATTTTTAAAAATCTTTTATGTTTTCCTTTTTATTTTGCCTTCTCTATGAAACTGTTCCATGTTTTGGCAGGCAGTGGTGGTGGTTGTGTGCCACTGAGGCTTTTCCAGCTCATAGTGACCCTGTACAGGGTTTCTGAGGCTGTAAATCTTTATGGGAGCAGAAAGCCTCATCTTTCTCCTGAGGAGTGGCTGGTAGATTTGAACTGCTGACCTTGTGGTTAACAGCTCAACTTGTTATCCAGAAATGCATTAAAACATTACAAAGAAAGTTTAAAATCTAAATAAAAGGGGTAACCATTCATGAATTATTCTCTTGGGAGTAAAATACTCTTACAGTACCTATTGAAATCAGTATTATTATTTGAACACATGTCTAATATGAGTCATTTCCCAGTTTAGGCAAAATTTCTTTATAAATCTTTAAATCTTCGTCTTCCTACAAGAAAAGGTTAAAGTACTAATGATTCAATGAGACTGTTATTTGACTACCAAGAGAAAACTAGCTCTTTCCAAATTGTGTCCTTTATTTATAATTTTCATATTTTTTTCTTAACTATTCTATACTTTATATTAAATCCATAAAACTAAATAACCATAAAATAATGGAAAATCCATTTAGATGAGATGTTTATTCAACTATAACTTATGGAATGTTTTAAGTGTCCTGGTGTGATGCTGTAGGATTAAACACTGGACTGCTAAGTGCAAGGTTAGTAGTTCAAACTATGAGAACTAACTAGATGGCATTTATTGCAACAAATAGCAAATTAATCCATCTGGATTAATTCAAAAAGAAATTAAAAAGTAATTATTTACCCTAAGCTGAGGATCTATATAGGATTCCTTTAAATTGGACACCAGTTTGAATACTTTTTTTTTTAATGTTTTATTGTGAATTATATGGTAGTTTACATGAGAGAACTTTAGTTTTACATTCCTTCCATCGTATATCATCTATTGCCATGGTTCCAATCCCCTACATGCATCATCAACCAACCAAAGGGTATATCCTAGAAACCCGCCCCCTACACTTCCCTCCCTCCCCCAGTTTTCGGCCCACAGTCCCTTTCCCTCTCTGGATCCAAAGTCCCCAGCCGCTTCATTACTCCACGTCATCGTCTCTGTTTCCATCCCAGGCATCTCTGTTTCTCTGGGTAGGGTCCCACTCTTGGCTCTTCTCCATTGATGGTCCCAGATACCTCCGCTCCTATCCTGGAGAATTAATCACTCCCTTCCTTCTTCCAAAACGTCTACCTTTGTATTTCCAACCCTCATAATCCGTCCTGATAAGCATTATTCACTACAGTATCACGAGTTACCCATCTGTATTTCCTTTCATCCGCTCCGCCCAGACAGATTAAATAGTACCCACTGGAGATTCTGCCTTCCTCCATGCTCCCTAGCACTAAGTTCCCCCTTGAAAGCTTGTAAGCCAGTCACTTCTTGCCTTTGTAGTCCCCCCCTCCCCATTTGAGTATCTAATGTCCAAGTTGCCCATCTCCGTCCACTCTGTGTGTGGAGGGGGTGGGAATGATTCTTGCTGTAAGGATTTGTTCCTTCTTTTGAGTTGCTGCTCCATAGGTATAGGTCAAGTTCATCAAATTGTATCACCTCTCTTTTTTTTTTTCCCCCCTTCTTCTATCTTCTCCTGGTTGAGCTCCGATCATCCAGTCATCTGGTCCAGGTCACATGGGTATCATCTGCAGGTGTGGGCACTCCTGTGCACATGCCCTCTCTTTCCCGTCAGCCGGTAGCTCCACTCTCCTCTCGAGTCCTCTGTGGCCACGCCACTGACTATGGGCCCAAGAGTCCCCAGGTCTCCTCACACTGCTTGCCATCCAGGTCCCCAACTGGGTCTACAGAAGTCCATTGAAGATTGTAGGGCTTAGCTTGCCACTTCATTGCTGCTTTTACCCCCATTTCTACCCATTGGTGATGTGTGTGGTTACCAATCAGAGTGTGCATTTCTGTTGAGTCTTAGTCTTGGAAGGGGGTTTGTGTTGAGAGGATGAATACTTTTTAAATGGTATGAAATTTATAGTAATCTGTATTATAGATGTTTTATAAGGAATGCACTAATGACAACAATTCTAAGTAATTACAATTTACAATTGGAAAAAGCAGATTAGGTGTTGAGAAATCTGAGTCAGTTAATGCAATTATATAGTCTTGAGAAATTCACTTGACTCAGTTTCCCGATTTCTATATTGAGAGAGAGGATTCGACTAGATAAACAAAATGAGTCTCCTTTGAATTACACATAAGAAAAGCAAGTGAACAACAGCAACTTGAAATCTTAGATAGGAAATTTAGGGGACAGTGAGTTTATATAGCTAAGATGGGAAGCTCAGAAAAGGAGGATGAGAATGGTTATACATCTCAAAGAATGTAATCCATGTCACTAGGTTGTACATGTAGAAACTGTTTTCTTCTTAAATATTTTTGAAGTAAGTGGAGTGTGGAGAGAGGCACAATTTACTGAAGTATGGGAAACAGACATAGGGTTATGTAAAAGGTTAACGGTAAAGGAAGTTCCATTAACTGACCATCAGGTTTCTTATTATTTATTTTCTTCTGCTCTAGCATGGTGTATGGTACTTGTTCAGAAGCTTTTTTTAGGTAGATATTATGGTCAGTACATAAGTGCAGTTTGTCATTTTCATTGTAAAACTAACTGCAAATAACTAACTTTAATATGAAATATTACTAACACATTGTTGCATTATTCTAAAATGCCTACAAATCCTGTTTGAGTTTTGAGATTGGGGACTTCGATTACCTACATCCTGATGTAGCATTGTAGGATAAGCACTGGACCATGAGGTCAGTTTGAATTGCGAGATCAGCAGTTCAAACTCACCAGCTGCTCCTTGGAAACCCTATACAGGTTCACTATGAGTTGGAACCTACTCAATGGCACTTAACAACAACAACATTATCACTCTGACTGTAGAATTGATTTTAATCAATTTTTACAAAAGACAAATATATCATTTTTTGACACAATCTCCTTGCTTTGCAATATATTTTGTCCATCTCTCAACAAGCTTTCGTATGCCCTTATTAAAAAATGTTTTAGGTTGAGTATGTGAGCCACAAACTCACGGCTGTCTTCATTTCTTCATCAGAGGTGAATTTTCATCCTGGAAAGACTGCTTTTAGTTGACTAAACAAGTGAAAGTCCAATGGAGCAAGATCAGGACTAGGAGGATGCTTTAACAGCTCAAAAGGAAGTTTTTGCAGAGTCAACAGTGTGGACAGAGGTGCTTAGATGTGCATTGTCAAGCAAGATCACGCCCTAGCATAACAGTCTTCTGCATTTAATCCAAAGTTAAAGCTTCAACTCTTCAGTGAGCCTCTTAGTATGAGCACTGTTGATTGTTGAACCTTTTTCCTGATAGTGTTCCAGTATTGACCCTTGAGGATCCCAGAAACCCATAGCATCAATTTTCCAGCTGATGGTTGACTTTTGAACTTTTTCTGTATCAGCACCTGAGGTTGTTTGCATTCCATACTCTGCCGTTTACTCTCAGCACTGTAGTGAAGTCTTGTCACCAATAATACACTTTT